GGTTAAAAATGAAAAAAAATTTGACATTTTTCTACCAGCGTATTTATGTCCTTCACAAAGCTTTAGTGTGTGAGCAATGTTTCAAATTTTCTCAAATAATGTTTATCAGAATATCACTGTTCAGCTCCGCTATTGTTGCATATTTTCTCCAGTTTAGATCTGTCAAGGTCTCTGCCTAAAAGCAGCTTCAGATATTTGAATGTGAAGATCTTCTGAATATCAAAGTTTTAAAAGACAAAGGGAAGACGACAGTAGGTGAATGAGGAGCGGCATGCTGTGAGGAACTGAAGTGTGTTTGTTTAGAATTCTCCATGATGCTCCGCCTATTTGGGAAAGCAGGAAGGTGTGTGTGTGCGCGTATGTACATGAGAGAGAGATCTTTTTGATATTTCTGAGCACGAGCGTCAGTCTATTTATGATTCAGCTGTCTCCTCATGATGTCTGTTAACACTCGCCCCGCCACCCGCCTAAGAAAAAATCAATTTATTGTGCAATCTTGTGTTTGGCGATGGAACCAATCAGCGGTTATTTTTAATGAGGTTATGGAAGCCACTGTAAATTCACAGATCGATATTTCACCATGAACCATAAACAAGTTCCTGATGTGCTTCGGGAGAGTTTGAGAAGGTCAGCCGCAACAGGAGAAATGTGTTCCTGGAAAGATAGTGAAGGATGGGTTTCACGCACGCACACACACACAGTTGTGATCCCTCAACATATGCTGGGATGTTCTGCTCAAACTGATATATGTCCCCTCGGTAATCTGTTCATGCTTGATTAGAAAGAAATATCTCCGCAGCGTTTACGTTGAAAGTCAGGAGCTCCAAACTTTCAGGAGATTTATTCCTTTTGATAGTATAAACAAGTGATTAGACAAACAAGTCACTTGGACTTGTTTGAAAGGACCTAAAATACATTTCTCCGCTTAATGTAAACGTGGCTGTGGAGAGATGGGATTGAGGTAACAGTTTGGGAGTGTGGCTAATCTACAACAGGTGGACCTGATTTAGACTGTGAGAGCTGAATTACAGTAACATATCCAGAGATGTTCCGCCGCATGGAAGTTATTTACGGCACGTTTTCTGCTACGCGAGTGTTTGTGTGTGTGTGAATGAGAGTGCAAACATCTGAAAGAGCCATTAACCGAGGGCAAAACAAGCAGCCTTTAAGAAAGCGCTTGATGTGGGTTGTGCTGTGAGGAAATCACCGTGCCCATAGTTTGTCTAGTTAAAGGACAGACAGGCAGGTGCTGGAGAGGGCAGCTTGTCTAGATGAGAGGACAGGACCTTATTCTGAAAACTGAAAGCAAATGGACCTGTGCCTGAAGGTGCTTCCTCGCTTACCGAGGTGTGAGTGCTTTCTGCTGTTTTCACTTAGATACATGTTGCTCTGTAAAAAAAAGGAAGGTTTATAGAGTTCACATATGGCACAAGGACACTTTTAGAAAATATTGTGCTCTTGGTTAAATTTCGGTTATTGGATGGATGGATGCACCTCACAAAATCAAGTTTTCATCATATTCCATGTAAAAGATAAAAAAAAACTTTAGTGTGTATACACGCACAAACACAAACACACACATATATATAAACCTTTAGTGTGTATGGGCTTCCATAAACCTTTAGTGTGTATACACACACACACACGTTTTGATGTCACTATTGATGAGGATTGTATGATCCCTATATAACATCAGCCTTTAAATGCAAGATACTTAAAGGGGTCATATGATGTGATTTCAAGTTTTCCTTTCTCTTTGGCATGTTACAAGCTGATTGTGCATAGATAAGATCCCTGAAGTTGCAAAGACTAAAGGCTCAAAACCAAAGAGATATTCTTTATCAAAGTTAAGACTCTGCCACGCCCCCCTAAAACGGCTCGTTCTAACACGCCCCCACATATCTACCTCACTATGTGGAAATATTTGCATAATGCCACCCAAATGTGCACGCAAAGAAAGAAGGCGTGGTTTCAGTAACCGCAGTTAGTGTTGAAGCAGCCATGTCAGGGAGACGCTGTGTGTTTCAGTGCAAAAGCAAAAGCACTATATTTGGCCTTCCGAAAGTAGATGCATTAAGAT